GCTGTGATGCTGAACACTGTGACACTGATGTGCCAAACATGGTAAAGGGTACTCATGGTGGACAGTGTTGGCTGGAGCTTCCCGACTAAAACAAGCGTGGAAGCAGGAGCAGCATCCACTTACGAAATGGCTTGCCTCCGGAAACTCTATGTATGAACAGTACTCAGGTCTTTCATTCATAGGGTCGCTGAGTCGTCTATGATTCGAAAGCACCTAACAACAACAATAACAACAACATGTCAGAGGTACTGAGGATGGCACAGGATAAGACAGGTTCAGATCTGTTGTTCATCAGGTTGCTAGGAGTTGTATTCAACTCAACAGCACCTAATAACAACAACAAAAGGACAGAATCCTAATTTGTGGAGATAGAACTGTAGTTGGTTAGGGTCAGAGAGAAAAAGCGCACACTATCTGATATCAGAACGACAAATTAGTAAAGTAGGGACATAGATTATTTTTACACATTTTAAAAAAATAAGTCTATGTCAGCTATTTATTTATTCATGCTAATGATAAATGTAAACACTCCTTAATTGAATTTTACCTATTTCTCTTGACAAGGACAATAAAGATTATCTAATCCTCAATACAGACATTGTTTTAATGGTGTAAACAACTATCAATCATTTTTTGTGTCCTTAAGTGCTTATTCCACCAAAGGTTGTAATATTTACCCTGTGAGAAGGCCAAGCATAATCTAACGTCCTCCAGGGGAAATGAGGGACAACTGCAAGTGCACAAAGGACATCTAATTAGATTGTTGGAGAGGCCTATAACCAAAAACATGGAATATGGACAAGCTGCTGGAGCATGGTGGTCCAAAAGGCAGCCTGAGCAGTATTCCCTTCAGCTGGTACACTGGAGGAAGAGTTTATGAAGAGTTTTCATCTAAAAATGGAGATTTAAGATTATGCTGCTCTTTGTTACGTGCCATTGAGTTACTTGTGACTTATAACAACCCTATGCACAACAGCTCTGAAGCCTGTTCTATCCTGAGCCAATCTCACAGACCCTGACACACCTTCTCCCATTGCCCTGGTTACTGTATCAACCCACCCCATCCTGGGTCTCCCTCTCCTGCACTTTCCCTCCACCCTTAGGAGCATAACGTCCTTCTCCAAGGACTGGTCCCTCCTGGCCACGTGCCCAAAGTATGTGAGTCAGAGCTTCAAAATCTAAGCCTCCAAAGAGAAACTTGATTTCACCCTCTCCAAGACGGACTTATTTATTTTCTTGGTGGGCCATAGTATGTTCAAGACTCTTGTCCAGCACCACAACTCAAAGGTATCTAGCCTTCTGTCATTCTCAGTCATTGTCCAGCTCTATGATGCATGGCAAGTAACTGCAAAGATCATGGCCAGAATCAAGTGCACCTTAGTCTCTAGACTGATATCGTTACTTCTCAGTACTATGGAGAGGTCTCTGACAGCAGATTTCCCAGTGCAATTTGTCTTTTGACTTCCTGACTGCTGGTGCCAAGAGTGGAGCTGAGCAAGCTGTAATTGTTAACAATCTCAATCTTTTCTCCATCTATTATGGTGCTGCCAATTAGCCCAGTGGTGAGAATCTTTCCTTTCTTGATGTTACGCTTCAATTCACATTGAAGACTACAGTCCTAGACCTTCTGCAGCAAGTGGTTCAAGTCCTCCTCAGTTGTGCTAAGCAAGGTTGTATCATCTGCACAATGTAGGTTGTTGATGAGTCTTCCTGCAATACTGATGCCACATTCCTCCTCATAAAGCCCAGCCTCCCGAATGGTCTGTTCTGCATATGTACTCCTTCTATGATTTTGAAATGGTATGCACAGGAATCAGATCGATTACATCTGTGGAAGGAATCGTTGGAGAAGTTCAATATCATCAGTGAAAACTAGGCCAAGTGTGGAATGCAGAACAGACCATCAACTACGCATATGCAAGTTCAAATTAAAGCTAAAGGTCAAATCAAATCAAATCCAAAGAAATCAAAATTTCATCTTGAGTCTATTCCACCTGAATTTATAAAACAACGCTGGAACACATTTGAGGCCTTGAACACTAATGAACAAAGACCAGATGAGCTGTGGGAGGATATTAAGAATATCACTCACAAAGAATATAAAGGGTCACTACATAGAGGAAGAACCCAACCGAATGTGGAAACTACAGAACAATTTCACTGATTTCACATGCAAGCAAGATTTTACTGAAAATTATCCAAAAACGACTGGAACAGCACATCAACAGAGAACTACCAGAAGTCCAGGCTGGTTTCAGAAGGGGTCATGGTACTAGAGATATTATAGCTGATGTTAGATGGATCTTGGCTGAGAGCAGGGAATACCAGAGGAATGTCTATCTGTGTTTCATTGACTATGCAAAGGCATTTGACTGTGTAGATCATAACAAACTGTGGCTGACTCTGAGAAGAATGGGAATCCCAGAACACGTGATCGTTCTAATGCGAAACTTATACTTGGACCAGGAGGCAGTCATCAGAACAGAGTAAGGGAACACTGCATGGTTCAAAATTGGGAAGGGCGTACGCCAGGGATGCATCCTATCTCCATACCTTTTCACCCTATATGCAGAACAGATTATCTGGGAGGCTGGGCTCTATGAGGAGAAATGTGGGGTCAGGATTGGTGGACGATTTATCAACAATCTGCGTTATGCGGATGACACAACCCTGATTGCTGAAACTGAGGAGGACCTGAAGTGCCTGCTGCAGAGTGTCAAGGACTGCAGCCTACAATATGGATTGAGGCTCAATGTCAAGAAGACAAAGATTCTCACCACTGGACCAATCGGCAGCATCAGGATGGATGGTGAAGAGATTGAGATTGTACACAGCTTTAGTTTGCTTGGCTCCATAGTCAACAGTCTTGGCACCAGCAACCAGGAAATTAAAAGGTGCATTGCCATGGGAAAGTCTGCTGTTAGGGACCTCTCCAAAGTGCTGAAGAGCAGTGGTGTCTCTCTGGAGACTAAGGTGCGTCTGATACAGGCCATGGTCTTCGCAATCACCTGTTATGCATCAGAGTTGGACAATGACCAAGGAGGACAGAAGGAGAACTGATGCCTTTGAGCTGTGGTGCTGGAGAAGAGTACTGAGAATACCATGGACTGCTAGGAAAACAAATAGATTTGTCCTGGAGAGGGTTAAAGCGGGTGGCTCCTTGGAGGCAAGGATTCTGAGGCTCCATCTAACTTACTTCGGACATGTAGTGAGGAGAGACCGGTCCTTGGAGAGGGACATCATGCTTGGGAGGGTGGAGGGACGGCGCAGGAGAGGAAGGCCCTCTATGAGGTGGACTGATTCAGTGACTGGGATAATTGGGATGGGAGTGTCAGAGACGGTGCGATTGGCACAGGACAGAGCGGAGTTTAGGGCTGTTGTACATAGGGTCGCTATGAGTCGCAGGCGACTTGACGGCACATAACAACAACAACAACACATAGAGGAAGAAGAAAATACCAAGAAGGATGTCAGAAGAGACTGAATATTGCACCAGAGTGCCAAGAAGCCAAAGCAAAGAGGAAAGTAGAAGTGTCAAAGGGCAGCTTGGGAAGACAAAGCAAAGTATTATAAAAAATGTGTACAGAACTCGAGTTTGAAAATCAAAAGGGCCAAACTCGCTTGAACTCTAAATTTAGAGTACATAAGACTTAAAAAAAAAATGGCTAGATTGTGAACTACTAGGTGGCCTTTAATCCTAGGAGAGGGAAAGTGAAATAAGATACAGTCTTTAAAAATAAGTTGTGAAGGAAAGAATTTTGGGCCACAGGAAAAATTAACTTTCCACTGCTGTCAGTAATTCTCAGTCATGGTGGCCCTTCCTCATTACAATTTTAAGGGGGCAGCTATCTCATCCTTCTCCTACAGAGCAGCTATTAGATTCAATCTACTGGCTTTTCCATTAGCAGTCTAACACACAATCCATTATGCTTCCAGCACTGCTTAGATATAAACATAGTTTACTGCAATCCCCAGGGGAAAAGATAGGGATAAGCTAGAGACCTCAATTGGGCACAAGCTGAAAACTGAGCTCAAGAGCAAGATACAAAATGGCAGAGATCAACCAGAAGGAAATACAGTTCATTAAATATTAGGCTACAACTCCTTAAATATTACAGGTCCTGATTAAGCCCGATCATGTCTGTCATTTGTATCAGCATTTACCTAGACATGTTCACCAGTCGAGAAAAAAAAAAAAAATGACGCTAACTTAGGGGAAAGGACAGACACCATGCTGAGAATGAGGCAGAGTGTGAGAAAAGAAAAACAATGTAAATTTCACAGGGCTGGCTAAGGAACTTGTTGACTTCTTGTTGAAATACCATTATGTTTATTTTTTTAAAATAGAAAATAGAAAATCTCAAGTTGAATATGAATACTTAAAAGAGCTTTTGCCCTGTGTTAAATTCTAAAGAATAAATGACTCATCTAGGGCATAATTCAGCACTGAAATAACATGTTTTAGCAACATATTATGAGCTTCCAAATGAAGCAACATAGGAAGAAGGCTCACCAAGAATACACCATATAACCATGGCATTTTGAGACAAGGAATCCAAGATTCTAATCAGTGATAAAAATAAACCTAAGAACCATTAACTTACATTCTTTCTAAGTCTCACTTAGTGAGAAAAACAAATAACCTAGGAAACTTTAATATATATTCCTTCAAAGTCTGCAAAGTAATCTTTATGCTTCTCTCTCTATATGAAAAGTCAGTAGAGGATGAATGTTTAGCAGAGAAAAATAAAATACATAACATTCAACACTTATAAATACATCATATATGTGAAGAACAACTTAAAGTAAAACAGAAAACAAACAAAAATATTTAAAAACCCCAAAACATGACTGCACATGATGCAGATTAACAGGAAATAGTTTATATTAAATACTGTAAATTTCATGTAAGCTCATAAAATTTGAAAAAAATTTCTAAATATCATTGTCAATCATTAAATAAGTATCTTTTTTTCTAAAGCAACACTCAAATATTGTGTATTTCAGATCTCTCAACAGCTTTATTTGGCAAAGACAAGCCCAAGAGTTTTTTAAAAAAAATTTTCAGAGGGAACATCCTTTACCATAAAATAAATTTGTGCAGTTTGGAAGGACAAATCTAAAATTTATATTTTTGACATATGTGCCAATTTTACAATTAGTACAAAAAAGATAAAGTTAGCTGAAATTTTTAAAAATGTAAAAATCAGTCCAAGCAACAGAACTATACAATCTTGTAAAAGTACTTATATCAAATTCTGCACAAAATATTTTTGCAATATACTAATTTAGTTCAAGTCTCTATTGTCGGCTGGCTTTCCCATTTTCTGTTGGCTCCATCCTGAAAAATCAAAGAGGGGTGGGGAGATGGAAAATTAGTAAAATAAAGCTTTCATTAACTACTCATAGATTTTCTTTTCAATTATATTTCACATGCAAATTGCAACAGAAGGACCTCAGTACCAGAAAAAGACTAATGTTGTTCTAATTAATTCAATTCCCTCATTTTGCAGTTAAGTGAAAATTGTGTGTCAGAAAGACTGCTTGTCTTATTATAGTGTACCTTTCTATATAAAAATGCCATTAAAGAAACCCTTCAGATACATTGCATCTTTAATAATAATGTTTTGATGTACACTGTAAAATAGCAACCATCTGTTGCTACAATCTACTATATGCTCCTCAGTATTTTAATATAACAAGCTTTACAGTGGTGGGCTACAACTGTAACTATAAGCTGTACATAATTTGGGCATTTTTAACCCAATATCTGCATCAAAAAAAAAAAACAACACTCTAAGGAACAAATATTTTCAAACCAGAGTTACAATCCATATGACTGCACTTTCAAGGTACCAAGAATAAAATAAATTTTTTTTCTACTTAAAAGTAATATTTCACCAGCTTAGTTCGAGATAGAGTACTTTTTCACATTGTTTATTATAGTGCCAAACATGCAATTATTATAACAAATTTCTGTGATAAATAAATACAAACCCATTTTCTTCCTTAAGATGTTGATATAACTCAGCTCTGTTATTAACAGAGTTCAAACGCCCAGCAAACTCCTGATGTTTTCTGGAATTGGCAGTATTAATTCTATTACTCCACAAAGATAGCAAAGACACTGGCCCTGGTATAATATGTCAAAGAGAAAAAAAGATCCAAGTAATTTATTATTTTTAAATCTATAAATTTAACATATTTAACTTATATTGTTCAGTTTCTAAATTAGAAGTATTCTTTTTCCCCTTCTTCTACTCTAGAAAGAAAATCTTTTAACTCTTTAAAGTTGGCTTGGAGTAATTTATTATTTTAAAATATACAAATTTAATGTGACAAATTTGCTGATACCATCTTGAGAAAGGACACTAAATAAAGATGTTGAAGATCTGACATGTCTAGAAATCTCTTTAATCCTAATTTTTACTTCAGATGTATAATCTGTCTAGACATAAAATTCCACAATTAAAAAATACTGCATTTTCAGCAATACTTTTTGAGAAGTCTGAAGATCTTCTATTTCTTTTTTTTACTTTTAAAATTTTTATTTTAATGAAAGTTTACAGAATTTGGATTTCCATTCATTCTTGGTTGCACACACTGCCTACCCCTCCCCCCAGTTCACTTTTCTCTTTGCAAAGTGAAAAAAAAAAATTCTTTCATTGTTCTACAATCTCCCCCCGCTGCCAAATCCACTCCACTATGCAGCTTTCATTCTGGACTCTTGTCATGACAATAATACCAAATCCTATGTTCCTCCTTAACAGTTCTCTCCCTCATCTATTTCAATGCAGTATACATTATTTATCCCATCTTAGTTTCCCCTCAACCCTGATGTCAATCCCACTTTACAACAGTGGTACCATGCAGTATTCCTGATTCTTTGTATATGATCTAGTCTCTCTTTGGAAACACAGAATAACTGTTAGGCCCCCAAAATCAAAACTCAAACTGGTTCCCAATGAGTCAATTCTGACTCACAGTACTGCATGTGTGTCAGAGTAGAACTGTGCTCCATGGAGACTGTAAGGATTGCTATTTTGAAAGCAGATCACCAGGCATTACTTCTGAGGTGCCTGTGAGTGGATCTGAATCAAGAATCCTTTGTTAAATTAGTAGCCAAGGACTTTACCATTGCTGTCATCACCCAGGGAAGGTAATATACAATGGGATTATAGAAAAAGCAAATTAAGTTTATTTTCTCCTAGAATAAACTGTCAGCTATGGTAAACTCACCTGCTCTGAAGTCTTTTGACTTCAAGGGAGATTTTTCTGTATTAGAGTTAAGATATAAGATAGTCCTTTTCAGTATGTCATTTCCCATTTATCCTAAAGGCAAGTCTACTTTACCTTCAAGTACACAAAGACCTAGAATAATTTCAAACCCAAAGTGATGTCTAGAATTCCTTCAAGAGGAAATAAAATATTTCAGGTTGTAAAAAGAATTAGAAAACCTTACAATGAGAATATTGTTTAAAATAACATCATCAATAAAATTTATTTAAAACATATTTATCGTACCAATAAATAAGTGATACTTGATCCTTTCCTAGTATCAATTAGATTTCAGAGTTTAGGAAAAGAAAATACACTCAACTTCACATAATTATAATTTTTAAAATCTGACTTTATATTAAAACTACTTATTTTTTCAAAGGCTTTATCAATCAAAAATTATACCATTTTTCTTTTAATGTTGACAAATACATTTTCCAAGACAGTCAATACTTCATCCAGGCACACCCACAAGCTCATCCTCACACACAGCAGAACAGTCACCACCATACACAGCAGTGCAACACTGGAAGACTCTTCACAAACAGTAAACCACAGTTCTACCTTACCTTTTGATTTTTCCACTGGCGGAGTCTCATCTATTTCAATAAGAGGTTTCTTGTTTGGTGGTTCTGGGGAATCTGGTGAATCTTTTATGATCTCAGCTTCAGCCAACTCTTCTTTTCCACGTTCTAAAATTCCTTTTAATCTTCAAGGTGATACAGTGAATTCCAAAGTTAAAATTTTCAGTTCTCCAAACGGTTTAACAATGAAACTAGATTTTGTATTTGAGTTTTTATAAAAGATAACTGCTCATAAACTTCATAGCTAAAGCTAGAGATTAATCAGAAGCTAAATCTCAATCTACACTCAAATGAGAAAACTCAATGAACTAAACACAAATTTCCATTTTTCTTCATAATAACACTGTAATTCAGTTAGCTGTAAACTTTTAAAAAAATATTTAATAAACAAAACGGTGTCTTTGATATTTGAAGTTCATAAAGCAAATACTGATACAAAACATGCACTGAATTTTCAGAAGCTGCACTGAGTAAATCTACAGCAAAAGACCTCTTTGAAGTGTAATTTTGAAGACTATGGTATGTCTGATAGCATTTTCAAACACCTCATACACAAGTGAAAACTGGACAATGAATATGGAAGGTGGGAAAAAAAAATTGATGCCTATGCATTGTAGTGCTGGTGAAGAATATTGAATATACCATCAATCACCAAAAGAACAAACAAATCCATCTTGGAAGAAGTCCAGTGTTCTTTAGCAGTAAAGATGCTGGGAATGTGTCTCACATACTATTAGGAGGGGACAGTCCCTGGAAAAGGACATGAAGTTTAGAAAAGAGTTAGCCAAAGAGAGGAAGGTCCTTCCTTGTAAGACAGAATGACCAGTGACTGCTTAAGTGCAATGGACATTGTGAGGATGGTGCGGGATCAAGCAGGCCGAGGTTTCATTCTGTTGTACACAGGGTGGCAGACAGCTGGAAGTAACACAAGGACACCTAACACCAGTACCACCACCATAATCTTTATCTCTAACACACACACGTGTCACACTTTTGTTAGCCTAATAAACATTACTGAAATGAAAAAAAATAATAATAAAAAACTGAAATTTTAAGAGAAAAGCTGTTAAAATGGAAATAAACCCATTACATCAACTACGACCGTATTAAATGACAATTGAATGTTCAAACATGCTACATGCAGAATGCAGTATGCCAATGAGTGTATTACTGCCCAGTAGTTACCTCTCTGAATCTTGCCAAGGTTTCTCTTGTTCATAATCTTTCACCGCTTTCTCAGACTTGTCCTCTTTATCCTCCCTCTTTCTTCCTCGCTTCTTTCTTTCCTCTTCTTCTGGGGGTTTGCTCCTACACGCCATCAGACATTCCAAAACTCTTTGATGTTTCTCTGAATTGTTAATATGGGCTCTAACAAGAGTTTCTAATTCATTCCACATGATACGGTATTGTTCATCTCTATGGGAAAGAAGATTACAACTGACAGTTTCTTAGAAACACTCAAAGAAATATTAAATTGCAACTTGCTACTGGAAAAGGGAAAAAAATAAACAATTCTTTTTATAAGCCTTCTTCCCTAGAGTTGACTGAGACTAAAAATAACATCATATATTTCACAGTAGAACAATATACTCCACAGGGTTCAGTTAATGGTGAAACTGTATATTAAAATGCACCAAATTCTGCAAGTCTACTAACTTCTCAACTCTGAATGCACGCACCCAAGCAACAAACATATCATTTGTAGCAAGTTAACATAATATATCAAGAAAGTGAGAGGGGATAACTACCTTTTAGGGCCTTTTCCTCTTGTACCAACTGTGGAAATGGGAAGAGGGTCATTTTTCCTTTCCATATCAACTAAGTTGTATATTGTTTTTTGACAATTTAACACATCCTCTTCTGTCAAAGATTCTTTCACAATAACACTGGCTAATGGAACTACCTGTTGGGATTTTTTTTTGAAAGAAAAATAAATATCAAAGCATCTATGCAAAATTTAAACTGATCTTAAAGTTATCATGTCAAGAGAATCTACAACACATAAATTTTCAGTAACTTTCTGTAGCAAATACATATTTAATTATTTGCTTGACAAGTCACATAAATAACATGTCTTCTAGATTGTTTTTTTAAAAACTATAGAGCTAATCTAGCAGAAAAATTGAAATTAATAAGCTACTTACCGCTTGCATGTTGAAAATGGTGGTTTGTGAGATAATCATAGGCCAGTAACGGGTATGTTTTTCTAATTGATCTTTTGCTCGTTCCAAAGGGATCTCAAGACATCCATCGATTTTATATCTGGGGTCTAGAAAAGGAGTTAATCTGTTTTCCCTCATAAATTCACCAAAATCCTAATGATAACCAAATAAGAAAAAATTAGAATCTATTCTCTGATGTTTAATTATGGGTTACAAGTCAAAGCCTGTCTCCCTGATAGGTTCCTCACTGTGGTATGCAGCAAAGCATTTTCTCTAACACCTCTCTGCCACCATTGTTTATTTTTCGTTTTGAACATGACACCTATCAGCTTTTACACACTGAAGGTGAAAAATGCATCAAACAGAATGTATTCCTGGTATTTCCACTTTTTAAAAGCCAAGGAACACTCATTTTTATCATTTCTATTTTTACTCTTTCCTATCATCAAAAAATAAAAACTTAAGCTAATCATATCAGAAGATCAATTCATCTGCTTGAAAATTATCTGGACATAATATTAAAATGTGAACAGAACTTATCTCTGAACAATGGAATGAAATAATTTTAAAAAATTTCTGTACTATCTTTTTTATAATTACTATTTATTACTATATTTTCCTAAAAAATGTATTTAGGTAATAATTTTTAAAACCTAATAAAAAACCAATTACTTAATAGTACTCAACACTGGTTTACCATATGTATTTACATATTACCACATTTTATTTTCATAACCACCTTAAGAAAAAACAATTATGAAAGATCAAACAGAAAAAAATTAAAATCAGAAAATAAAATTTCTTTCTAAAAGAAAAATGGTTTCCTTTTATGTTAGACCATTCCCTTCCCAACAGTACAATATCTAATACTATTCTATCAAAACAGTAGCAATACAAACATGCAAATGTTTAAGCTAATTATTTAGGCCTAGAAATTAAGTTTTACCTAAAATATTAGTTCAGATCAATTTCCTATATTTTCAGTGTGTCATCACATGTATCTCATTAACCAACTATATAGAGAACACTACAGTGATAAGTAGATCTTTGGGCAAATACTGCAAGAAATTTACTTAAGTAAAATTAACTTTTATCAAATCTCATTTTGTCAAACTCAAGAATATCAGATACCCAGTGAATACTTTTGATGAATGACTATTGACTCAAGACACAGGATATACAGATTATAAGAGTCTTACTGTAATCCGGTAGTCTGTAACTCTTCCTCCACACCCTTCACTAATTGAAGGAGGATCTTCTAAAATGGACCGAGAACTGCTGAGGACGTGCAGAAAAATCTCTCCTCCGTGGCTACTTAGCATATGACTGATGACTTTGGAACCTGACTTTCGTGGTTGTTCTAATAAAACAGAACGACCTGGCAAAGCAAGATTATTATATCAATAATGAAATCAATGGACTTTTTTAATATTTTGATCTAGATTTTCATTTTTCCCTATATTTTAACCAGCACTGCTAGTTTATTATAGCTACATTTCAATTCATAAAAATCTAAATGCCAGCTTTGACTATCTCTTGGATACTCCAAGCTACACTGATGCTTTAGAGTAGCTCCAAAATCTAGTGGGCCATAAATATTACTGATAGAGCTTATAGATTGAGGCAATAATTTTGATTAAAAACCAAATGCAATCATTTATATGAAAGAATGCAATACTACAATATTCCAGTATTAGATATATAATATTGATTTAAGATAAATTCACATATACTCTGTGGTTTTTTGCTTAAAATGTAAATCATTAAATTTGGACACATTCAAAATTCAATTCCAGTTGCCATCGAGTTGATTTAAAAAATTTAGCAAAGAAAAAGTTTGTATTATTTTATGCTAAACACAAAATAAAACCTTATTTTAAACTCTAAAAGACTAAAGATTTAAGATACTAGTACTTAAATAGTTATACTTAAAATATACATTAAATGTGCATTACATTAAATACATTAAAAATTAGACATAAAAGTTATCTTAGTTTTACACTTTAAATAAAATTTGAAAACCTAAAAAAAACTGTTAAAAACTATTTCAAACTATATAACTTGAAAACAGTTACTAGAGGAAGGAGAAGAACTGGCTAATCTATATTGAAGAAAGTAACTATAGATTTCAAGAGTTCATATTTCCATATATTCTCACTACCAATTTCACTTAAAGTAATTAAATGAGGACAGTTACCATTTAGAAGAAAATTAGTAAGGCAGGAAGAAGGTCTACTATTTACATCTACAGGTGAAATTCGATAAGCTCCAGTGCAATAGTGTAACTCTGAAATAGAAGAAAACACTGATTTGAAAGAATATAAAGGAATATTCATTCCTATACTTACAAGGAAAAAAAATCTGGTCATGAGCCCCTAAAACAATGAAAAACAGAATTTAAAAAATAAATAAATTCACTGAAATCTGCACAATTCTTAAAGAGCCTTTAATTTATTCTTTTTCTCAGAATTATTCTTAAATACCTACCAATGTTATTTGTCCTTGGTGTGCACCATTTTAATGTTATTGTCTCTTTAAATGGGCCTTCTCTACTGCTGCCACCTAAGTGGGTGTCTCCTTTAAAATTGAGAGAGAGAATATTAATATTACTAAACAGAATACAAACTTCAGATTATTTAAGGAAGCTTTCCAAAATAAAGGAAAATACTTCTCTAAGAGCCATCTTTTCAATGACATTCCTTAGAAAAATGCCAAATAAAGTGTGGATGTGAACTAGAATGGAAAATATTTCATTTTCCTTTAAAATTCTCTTTAGTTAAATTAATCTTTTTTAAGAGTCTACAACGGCTCCTCATCTCGTATTGGTAAAGGAAACAATAACATGGTTAAGTACACAGAGAAAGCATAAGGAAATTTAGATGTGCAACAATATCTAGTAACTGAATGAATAATAATGAATGCTATTTAAAAGAGATGTAAAACAAGGAATCAAAGCAGCAAATATATAAGGAGATATACCAATGAGCAATTTTTGCTGTAACAGAACTTAATGTGAAGGAAACAAATGTTTATAAATAATACCAAATGTAAAACTATGCAGCTGATGAAAAGTATACAGCACCATAAAAGCTTATACAGAGATATTTAAAATCTTTTTTTAGACATTAGGAGAGGCTTCCTTGAAAAGTGAAGACAAAAGATTGAGAAGAAACTGGTAAATGTGGAGAAAAGAGCACACTTTTATAGATGGTGTGGCAGGAAAGAGCATGAGGATTATCATATATGAGTGAACACAAGAAGACCTATACATTATAAAATAATTATGGAAATGAGGAGAGACCAGAGTATGCAAGGTCTTGGAAGGCATTTTAACAGTTCTTTCTCTGGTGGTTTAGAGGTAAAGAGTAATGCACAGAAGAAAGATGGGGAATCTCCCATGAGATTAAACTGGCTCTGAGAACCCACTGGAGGGTTTGCTGTGACTCAGTTTCAACTCATCAGTAAAACAACATATCCTAAGGACAACAGGAAAGAATTAGAGGATTTAAAGCTTGGCTTACACTAGAGGCAACATGGTTAGGATCAGCATTTTGTAAATTATTCTGGCTAATCATCCAGGAGTGGACAGAGGTATACTATTTAGAAAGATACTATTTTTCACAGTATTTCTGTAAAAAAATAATAGACTGAATAGAAGACCAGACAAATTATAGGATAATATTAAGGATTATCATCCATGAAGAGAGCAAAATTTGGAAACCAAAATGAAGGGAAGAAATGCCAAAATCAAAGAGGTGAACAGAAGATTTCAAAGGTTAGCTTGAGAACACAAAACAAAATATTATAAGAGAATGTTCTAAGAGATGGAGTTGAATAAGAAGGGAAGAATTTGCTTGGCATTTCTAAAGTTGAAAGAATTGAAAAGCAAATCCAAGCTTCGAGTTACAATACTAAGATACTATGGGCCAACTCTTGAACAATTCAGAAGCATCAAAAGAAGATGGTGAAAATACAGAGTGCCAAACAAAAACAACTGGTACTAAAAGCAATTGGTTGACACTAAAAAAAAAATTCAGGAAGTACATATGAACACGAGTCAATGGTAATGAAGAAATTCAAGTTGCACTGAGGGCCTTGGCAAAAAATAAGGAACCAGGAACTGATGGAATTCCAACTGATATGTCACAATTAAAAGACGCAGCCCTGGACATGCTCACCAGTCTATACAAGCAAATTTGGAGAACTGCTTGGTCAGTTGCCTGGAAGAGATCTGTATTTGTTCCCATTAACAAGAAAGGTGATCCAGCAGAATGTGCAAATTACTTAACAATACTAATATTATATGCAAGCAAAATACTGTTGAAGATCATATAAATACTCTAAGAACAAAGAACTGCCAGAAGTTCAAGCTGAGTCCAGAAGAGGCCATGGCACCAGGGATACCACTGCTGATGTTACATGGATCCTGGCTGAAAGCAGAGAATACCAGAAGAAAATCTATTTGTGTTTTATTGACTACAGAAAGGCATTTGACATTTGTATCCTAAGAAATTATGGCTAACACTGAGCAGAATGAGAATCCCCGAAGACTTAATTATGCCCCTACAAAACCTGTACCAGACCAAGAAGCTGCTGTCTTAACAGAGCAAGGAAACACTGTATGGTTTAAAGTCAAGAACGTTGTGTGTCAGTGTTGTGTCTTCACCATATTTATTTAATGTGTACACTGAACAAATCATTCAAGAAGCTTGACTCTGTGAAGAATGCAGTCTCAGGATTGGAAGAAGACTCAACAAACCTGACTTATGCAGATGACACAGCCTTGCTTGCCAAAAGTGAGGACTTGAAATGCTTTTTGCAGAAGACCAAAGACTATGTATGGACTGCACCTCAAAAGCAAGGCAAAAATCTTCACCATTGGATCGATAAGCAACATCATGACAGACGGAGAAAAAAAATTTTAAAATTTTCAATGATTTCATGTCACATTGATCCACAATCAATATCCTTGATACCAGCAGTCAGGAGATCAACAGATGTATAGTATTGGGCAAATCCATTGTCAGAGATCTCTATAGATTACTGAGAAGCAATGATGTTAGTCTGAAGACTAAAGTGCACTTGATTCAGGCCGTCGTGTTTTCAATAAAAAGATCAATGCAATGCCTCTGAGAGCTGGACAGTGAATAAGGAAGAACTGATGACTTTGAATTGTGATGCTGGAAAGAGTACTGAATATCCCACGGACTGGGAAAAGAACAAACAGGTGTATCTTGGAACAAGTGTAATCAGAATCCTCTTTGAAGCAAGGATGGTGAGGCTTCATCTGACATACTTTGGGCACGTTGTTGGGAGAGGCTATTTCCTGGTAAGGTGGAAGATCAAAAGAGCGGAAGACCTTCGACAAGATGTACTGACTGTGACTGCTGCAACAGGTGTGTCAGAGATGATGAGGATGGCACGGGATAGGACAAGGCTCAGATCTGCTGTTCACAGGGCTGCTCTGAGTACTACTTGACTCAACAGCACCTAACAACAACAGATCAGAGAGATGACAATGGTAGTAGAAATTTAGATGAGGAGGTATATGGGAGATGGTTAATTCATAACATTAAGAAATTGTGATGAAGATTTAATAATAATAAAGATGCTTCAAGATGACTTGGAGGTTTCTGTCTTAAATTAACTGGATAAACAAGAGGGCCATTCATAATGTTCAATAGGGAACATTAGAAGACTAGTTCAGGATTACATTTATAAATGGTTTTGAACATGTTACATTGTAGATGTCTCAAACAAAACAAAACATCATGAAACCTTTAAGAAATATCACAAGTGGATGGCTTTTACAAACAGGTAGTCATTTTGTCACAGTTTAGGAGGCTAGAAATCCAAAATCAGGGTGCCAACCAACCCTAAAGGAAGGCTTCCTCCTGTGAACTCTGTAGAAAGGTCCTTATCTCTTCTGAACTTCTGCTCCTGGACAATCTGCAAGAGGTTTGGCATCTCTCTTCTCTCATTGCCTATTTTTAGCTTGTTTTAATGTCTTTTAAATCTCAACAGAGACTGGTCCAAAATATACCCTATATAAAAGCATTTGATTGTACATATCATAACAAATCATGACTAACACAGAAAAGAACGGGAAGCCAAGAACATTTAATTGAGTTCATGTGAAACCAATATATAGATGAAAAAACTGTTGTCAGAATGAGGGAACACTGCATGGTTTAAAATGAAGAAAAGTGTGGTCAGGTTTATATGCTCCATCAATTCAATCTAAACTCTGAGCAAATCATTCAAGAAGCTAGACGATATGAAGAAGAATGTTGCATCAGGATCAGAAAAGACTCAACAGCAATCCGCTTATGACAAATGACAAATGCAAATGACAAAACCCTGCTTATTGAAAGTCAAAGACTTGAAACACCAGCTAAAGAAAAGCAAAGACGAAAAAAAAAAAAAAAAAAAAAAAAAAAAAAAAAAAAAAAAGCAAAGACTACATCCTTGAATATGGGTTACATCTTATCATTAAAAAAAATCCCAAAATCCAGACTATCAGACTAATAGGCAACATCATGATACGTGGAGGAAAAAACCTAAAAACCCCACAAATCTGTCAATTATTTCATTTGACTCCAAAATCAAAATCCGTAGTAATAGCAACCAATAAATCAAATGATGTGTTTCTCTAGGAAAATCTGCAATCAAGAACGTCTCTGGAGAACAAAAGAGCAATGATGTTTCTACACTAAGGCACACCTGATCCTGGGCAACTTATAGCTGGACAATGACTTAGAGAAGAACTGATGTTTTGGTGACAAAGAAGAGTACTGAGTATTCAACGGATTGCCCAAAGAACAAGTCTGTCTTGTAGAAAGTGCAGCCAAGGTGATCCTTAGAGGTGAGGATGGTGAAACCTGTGCCCAAATAATCTGGGCACGTTGTCAGTAGGGGCCAGTCCCTGGACAAAGACCTAAAGCTGGGAAAGGTGGAGGGTCGGATAAAAAGAGGAAAACGCACAGAAATATGGGTTGATACAATGACTGTAAAAAAGGGTTTGCGCATGTCAAAGATGGGGAGGATGGTGTAGGATAGGGCAAGTTTTAGATGTTTTGTCAATAGGGTCACCACGGAGCTCTGATAGCCTACTGGTAAGAATCTGTGCCACAATCCTGAAGGCATGCAGTTCAAATACGCCAGCTGCTCTGTGGGAGAAGGATGGGCAATATTCTCCCATATAATTATCTACCTCTGAAAACCCACTGGAAGGTTATCTACGGGTCAGATCCAACTCAACGGTAAACAACAACAAACAACAACATGAGTCATAATTACCTTGATGGTACCTAACAACAACAGTCCAGCTTCATTTATGTAACAATTTCATTCTCAAATAACATAAGCATAAAAAGTTATTCATTGCTGCTGAGTCAGTACTAACTCAGCTGATCCTCCAGCAAGTTTCTAAGACTGTAAAATTACAGGGGTTTAAGAATTACAAACTCCTGTAGTTGCTGTTGCTGCTGTGTACTATCGAGTTGGGTCAGACTCATAACTCACCCTCTTGCGGGGTCTGAGAAGCAATTAATCACATAGGAAGAGACTGCTCATCC